TGCTGTACTATAACCAGACAGAGCTACAGCTGAATTTCCCGAGCCCCAGACACTTACTATATCCTCACTGCATTGCCAGCCTGCTTGTTATAAGCTTGTGTTAGCACTTTTTGGTTATGGTTCTGTCAAATCCCAGGCCACTCGTGCCTCCCTTGCCCTTGCATGTGTTTTTATAAAGTATTATGATTCTTCCTAATCCTGGGCTTTGTTCCTTTAGAAAAACACTGCAACTTGATCCCTCTCAGTTAATGTCATGGGACTAAGTTCATTCCGGCTTGGCTTTAAGCAACTGATGCTCAAAACATCTGGCCCATGCGGGTAGTAGCTGTGCTGGGGAATGTGAATGCTACCAGTTATCACAGGTGAGCATGGCGCCACTCAGCCCCCCGCAGCTCCCACTATCAATGTCCCGTGGAAGTAACCATAGCTTCAGCTGCTACATGGCTCTCCTACTCTCCCCCTTTGCTGCCCAGATGGGGAGAAAGCAGAGGAAATTGGAGAATTCCTCTCTGACCGGAATTGGGTCAAGGTAAAGAATAACAGACCCCACAAGCAGTTCTGAGGGCAGGGTCTGATCGATGGCCATGCCACTTCAACAGGTTGAAAATCCCTCTAATGGAAAGGCTTAAAGGCCGTTCCCATAAGCCCAAGTTCTCTTCCAATTCTTTTCTTGCAAGAATGGGAACAGGAAGAGAATTAATGGAGAATTCCTATGTGGTCAATTAGCCAGACCCCCTTCCAGGCTCTTCTGGCACTGGCTCGAGTGTGTGATGACTGAGGCCTGCCATATGCCGACTGGGTAAACACTGCAGAAGGACTGACTGCCACAGTCCGCCAGACAGAGCAACAGATAAGGAACAGGGGGAGGAAATCAGAGAGGGTAATGGAGACCAATTGGAAGAAAAAGACAGATGGAAGGAAAGGACATACTGAGATAACAACTAAAGACAAACAAACAAGGGCAATAAAGTCAGGAGCCACCACCAGAAGGACTCTGACGTAAAGTGAAGGGGTGATGGGGTCAGCACTGGCTGAAAGATGAAAGACCCCTCCCGTCCCTCAGCTCCTTCTGAGAACCACAGAGAGCAGAGAGGCAATCTTCTCCCCTGCCACCATAGCTCCTATGGGTTCAAGGAGAACTTTCTCACCCAGAGGAAACTGAGTGAGGGGACATGCCAGAAGTCTGCCTAGAAATCATAAGACATCAATTGAAACATTGGCTGGGAAAGTGGGGCAAGGCTGTACGTGGGAAGGCACTTGGTAGCCACTTAGCAATGCTCACAGCCATGTCTCCTGCACTCCTTTCTTTCAGCACCAACTTTTGGGAGTACGGAGTTAAACATGCACCTTCCTACTTCCAAAACCAGAATCTCAGAACTGAAAACTTAACATTTAGGAATGCAGGACTAGATGGGACCTCCTCAGTTATTAAGTATGATCTCTTGCTATTGTAGGCACCACTTCAAATAATATTTTCCTTAAATGTATAGAGTGCCCTTTTAAAAGCAATTAGGTTTTCAGCCACCATTATTCTGATCACTATTCCAATGATAAAGTATCTTTTTCTAATTTACAGCCTAAATGTATTCACTTTATGCCCATTTGCCACTGTGCCAAATTGGCCTTTTGCTTAAAAAGTACTTTTCCTTCCCTATTATTTCTCCCAGTAACACAGACATCAGTCATATCCTCTCTCAACTTTCACTTTGCTAGGCTAAACATGGCAAGCTATTCTAGCCTGCTTTCTCAAGAAAAGATTCCTATCCCTTGGGTCAGCCATAACAAGCCTTTTCTAAGTCTGAGGTAATTTTGCTTGGGAATATGAGAACATACAATATTTTGGGGCCTCACGAGAGCTTAATATAATGGCATTAGTATTCCCCCACATCTTATGAAAAGACTTTCCCCAGTACATTTTAGGATATTTACTACCTTCTGAGACACATTACATCTGAAGTCATCTGCAGCTGACTGCTGTGCCCAATTCTTTTCTACCCATTTCCTAATGACTGAAAATGTTTTTCATACAAGACCTCAAATGATAGTCTTAATGTTGTTTTATTGGATGTCATTTGCTGCTGAACAAAGTGTGAATTCTCCTCTGTATTCATTACACCTGCCACCTTTGCATCATCAGCAAATTTCATCAGCCCATTCCTAATTCTTGTACCAAGGCTGAGAAACAAAAATAGTAAGCGTTGGTCTTGAGGCAAGTCCTTGAAGAACTCTGCTAATTAAGCTCTGGCAAGATCAAAATACATCCTTTCAAACAACTTATTGACATCTTCCCTTGAACCTTGTCTTGTCTTGTCTGCCTCATAGCTGCTGCATTTCTCCTTATCTTTCCCAATTTAACCAAGTGTTTTCCATGTGGAAAATGCATTAAATATCTTAGAGAAGTTCAGATCAATGAGACCTATCAGATCTTTTTTGCCTTTTGGGAAGTCAGTGATGTTCTAAATGATTGTGTGAGCAAACTTTGAGAAACCCTTGTCAAATAATTTCCCATTTTGCTTCTTCCTCTGAGATACCCTTCCCCCCAAGTCCTCCTGTAAACGCTGCCAAGGTCACACTGCCCATGCTGCCAGGTGCCAGCTCTTTCAGAGTGCCAGGAAAGAGCGTGGGCGCTCCCTGTGACTTTACGCTACTGGAGTTTTGCTTCCACCTTGGTGGTGATAATTTCCATCTCCAGCCTTTCCCCTTTGCTCCCATGATAATATATTTCTAAAAGCCAAGAGGAAAGGCTACCCTATACTGTCCAAATACCATCCTGACCAGACAACCCTGGAAACCCGTAAGCAATGCCATCTCAGAGCTACCCCAGGTCTCATCTCCAGATCCTTTCATATTCACCTCCTTTCCTGATCCCAGCATCTCCATTCCTCACTACCCCCAAATCCTCATGTACTCAGTCCACCCCAAAGCCCCAGCCTCGTTTACGTCAGAGCCCTCTGTTCTTCCAGCCCTTTGCTGCCACTTGACTCCCATCTGAATCATTCAACCCAACCCCAAACTCCCCTCCATGAGCAGCCCCCTGGACCATACCACCCATCCCAGGTCTACTGGCCCCAAACTTCAGTACTTGCTGCTCAGCTCCTCTTCCTCTACCTGTCTGAGCATGACAGCTGCCTTCTCATGCCTTCCTCACTCCCACAGGGTGCCAGCACCATCGACCACTGCCTACTGTGGTAGATCTTGCCTGCCGCTAGGACACCCTGCCTGGCTTCACCCAAAAAGCACAGTCCCAGTGCAAAATCTACACTATGAGCACTTGCTCCCTTAAGGCAGAAGTTTTGAGGACAAAAAAAGAAATCTCCATTGTACAGCAGACATACAGTACCCCTCCCCACAAGCAACATCCCCTATTCTGACCTGAAGCCCCAAGTAAAGCACTCATTTACTGTGGGGACAAAAAACTACCCTGTCTGTAGACTCAGCCCCATCCCCATTGACTAGCAGCCTCCTTTCTTCCAATCTCCTCCAATTTACAAAGTTTAAAAAACTTTCATTGTTTATTTTACTACCCTTTGCAAGGTCTGACTCAGCGTGATTTTTTACTGTTCTCACCTCATCTTTACACTTCTTGACCCCTAAGACAGAGCTTTTCGTTATTTATTTGCTATCAGTTCTTTTTTTCCATTCTTAGTAGGCTCTTGGTCTATTCCTAACAGTTTCTCTGTGGTAGTTATTCATTCAGTGAGGTCTGGATATTCTTCCTACAAGCTTTTTCCTCTTGCTTGGCATGCAGAATTGTAATGGCTTTAGCATCTTTGACTTGAAAAAGTTCCAGACCTCCTCCACATCGAGTTCCTCGGCTGGTTTACGAACTGGCTCCCTTAGTTTATCAGAGTTTGTTCTTTGAAATCCACAAGCTTAATTACACACTGGTTTATTCTTCCATTTAATTTAATTGAAAATTACTTGTGTTAATTCAATCTAAGGTTATTTTCTATGGCCATCTGTTCTACAGAGTCTAAAAAACCAAGCCTGAAACAACACTGTCTTGTGCTGGGCCCTTTGGAAAGATTTTGTCCAGGTCCTGGGTTAACTGAAGACACAGAAATTGCCTTGAGAGTTTGTCTATGGTGCCCAAAGAAGCACAGGCACTGTGGCATTCCAAGCACAATTTAAACAACTTTCTGCACCGTAGTAAAGGCAGACATACCTGTTTTCAGCTCTGTCCTTAAAGCAGGACAAAGCTTTCTTCCATCTAAAATCATATTATCATCTGAAATCACAGCTCACTTGGATTCTTGCCCATGTAATAAAAAAAACAAGACAGGGTAGTGTGTTGCCCATGCTGTGGAGCAAGTATCTCCTGACTTGATCTTCTAATACAGATGTTACTACAGTTGAACTAGTGCCTCAAACTATTGGCCATGTTCTGTCTCTGGATCCCTCAAGGCAATAGGACTGGCTGTTAAAAAGTCTCACTCCCTATTTTAGGCAAGGCATCTATTTTTAGTTACCCAAGTTCACAACTCCAGACATACAATTTTTTCAAAGTAAGTACTGCAGAGAAGAATGTTGCTTTTAGGCTACTACTCCATGGAGGAATGCCCCCCCATTTCTAAGCAAATGCAGACCCTCTGCCCTCCTAAGCCAAAAAAACACCTAAGCCTAACCCTAAACCAAAAGCTACTGAGTTCTACAGCTTTCAAGTCCATGGTTTTCCACCTGTTGCAAATTTACCCCAATTCAATTTTGCAAAAGAAGCATGGAGTATTCACAATGTTTCAACCTGACACACTGATTTCACTAAACTAAAAAAAAAAACAACAACAAAAAAAACAACACACAGAGCAAATCTTCTATGGTGCAAAACGAAGCCAAAATTACATGCAGAAAAGGCAGACAAACATGGGAGAAGGAAAGATAATTCAGTAACAATTAGAAGTTAGAAAGGACAGAAAATTGATAAGGAAATGAAGGATATTAGTTAAGATTGTGCAAGAGAGCAAAGCTAAGTACACTTAATAGAATTTTTTAATATGCATTAGAACTAAAATTAACCTGAGAAAAGCTCACTACTAGAGAAGAATGATAAAAATTTTAAACACCCTGTGAAAAAGGCACAAATGTTCAAGTAAGTATTCCTGTTCTACATTTGGAAAGAGGCAGGATTACACAGTTGTACCACATATGAATGATGCTACACCTTCCAGGCTATTAATCACAGCCAGAGGAATTGTGTAAAAAGCAAATGTGCATACACTGAGCACAAACAAAGGGGGAAACTTCACCTATGTTTACAGCATCAGTGAGACCAATACCAGAACCTTGCATGTCATTTTGGTATCCAGTTTGTTAAAGTATATTGGAAAACTGGAAAGGGTACACTAAAGCCATGTGAAAATGATTTGATGGCTGATGAGAACACCTGAAAGTGATAATGTCTTCAGTGCTCAATCTGGTTTGTCAAGAAAAAGTTGTGAATAAATTAAAGCAGATAAATAAGTCTATGCAGAGGAAATTCTGATTACTAAGGGGCTTTTCAATCTAGCTGTAAAAGTCAGAAAAAGAACTGATTGGAAGCTGACGCCAGATAAATTCAAATTATAATGAGGCACAGTGTTGAAACAAGATGATTAATGATGGTAGCATACTACAAAGGGAAGCAATGGATTCTCCATCCCTAGGGGTCTCCATATCAAAACTGTGTATCTCCTCAGAAAATGTCTGTCACCTAGATGCAAACTATTTATTTTGCCCAATACTGAGGTAACTGACCAAGGCATAGATTTCAGACATAGCCAGGGGGTAGCCTAATTCGATGTTTGCTTCTGGCCTTACATTCCCAAACTCTGAACGACAGCAGTAGAAGACAACTCCACATGCCAACCCATTCTCCTCTTCAACACCAACATGTCACTTTGACAGCTCTGGGAAGCCAGTTTCTGAGATGTAAACCTTGAAAGTGGACCATGACAGCACCTAGTTTATTTAGAAAGGACTTACATGTCTGCACACATGTGCCCACACAGCATCTCAACAGACCCAAAAACTCACTGGCTTTAGCTGGCAATGGAAGCCTGCCATTAAAACTGGAACATAATATTGTCAATATTGCCTGTAATATTCATAAAAATGCAGAAAATATGATCATACACTGTTTCACGGAAGTTACTGGCACATCATTGCGCTATCCCTCATCAAACCTCTAAGTAATTTGGTATCTAGCTATCTCAATCTGCCTCTGAGGAAGAGGAAAAGGTCAGCATTCGTCTTACCCTGCGACCAGCCTCATTGTTCTGCAAGTTCATCAGCATGCGAGCCTGCTCCTCTGAACCTCTCACGTAGTTCTTCTCCCTTTCCTTGGCATCCACAAACTCCTTGGCAAAACGGTATCCATACTCCACGTTATCCCCGCAGCCACCCCACAGCCAGTCTCGGGGCAAGTCCTTCGGTCGGGCCGTCCGGCTGCAGCCACAGCTGGAGAGCTCTCCTTCACGGCAAGCCCGGCTGATCGCATTCACCACCCCGGCAGCACTGACAGCATAGGTGAAAGCAGTCTCTCGGCTACCTGTGAGAGAGAGGCAAGAAGCAAATTAATGAGAGACAGATCTCATTTAACAAATGCAACATGGAGCAAGGGAACAGGATCCATTCAGTAGGACCATGGTATACTCTGAGAAGGTGCACATAATTAACTGGAACCAAGGAATGGTGGTTAAGTATGAGGGCATCACCCTGGTCTGGTAGAGGGGGAGCTGTCCTTTGCATCCTGTTTTTGTTTTCATCTCACAATAACACCTCCAGTCAATCAACTGACCACACCTGGTGGTTTCTGTGTAACCAGGACCAACCCCAAATCTGATTTGCTGATACACACCAGGGAAGGGGCTGAGACTTCTGCTATTGCCTGGATGAATGTTCTTGGGAAGAGGACGTTCTTCATGAATTTGTACGTGCTGCTCCTCAAGCATTATTGTTTTTATTACACCTATGTTTGTCCATTTAAGAGCCCTGAAAACTCCAGGCCTTGCCCAAAAGAAATAGCAACATCATAGGTAGGGACTGCTCAGCCTCCTTCCCCTCAGATCAGCCCTTCAGTATCCTCTCATTTTAACCCAGAGGAAACTCCTAAGCAGCAGCAAATACAGCTGCTGCCTCAGCCACTGAATTTGCCAATAATCACTGAGAACAACTAACAAGGTTGGGTCTGTGCAAAAGGAGCATTCTGGTTAAGCCAGATATCACTCTGGAATGGTTTTCATTTAATTGGCACAAGCACTCTTTAGGGGCTCCTCAGTTCATCAGCCTTATTTTGGTTTACATAAGATCAGCTGAGAATTGTTTTGAGACAAACTGAAGGAAATCCATTTTTACACTAAAGCATCAGGGCAGAGGGTCTCCCAATGCCTACAAAACTGCAGTGCTGGAACAAGTAAAACTTTCCCACATAGACAATAATAAATGAAAAGACTTTCCATTAGCTGGTTTACTAGAGACTGCCCTGCTTGGAGTGTATGCTCTATACAGCTTAGAGTCTGAGCCAAGCAGCTGGACTGGGTCTCCAGCTATGTATTCCTGGCAGCTGTTCAGCCCAATTTGACCGGGGCACCAACGCAGCCAGAACACCGCATGAGGCCAAGTGTGCCGCACCAGTGAGTGCTGTGGGTCTGAAGAGGGGGAGCAGAGAGGGATGAGGAGGAGGAGGCAGCAATCCACACCTGCTTTCTCACCACACAGTGTAATAAATAGCTAAACACCTTCAGAGTCATTGCCTGCATCACTAAACTTTCAGGTGACAAAGAGAACAACTGCCAAAGCTTCATTGGAGTAGGCAATCTGATTGTGAAGAGCTACTTACACCAAACCCCAGTAAGAGGCGACCCTCTAATGCTCTCAGGCAAATTTGAATGACTTCAGGGGGCAGATCCTCCAAGAACAGTTTGTCACCAGCCCAGGAGGCTCCCAGTGCCAGCTTCCTCAGCAGGACTGAGCAGATGCTTTTGGTATGCTCTTGTTCCAATTTACATGTGCTGACAATCTGTAATTAATAGCAGCTTATCACCAGCTTAGTGGTAATGACCCAAGACAAAGGCAAGGCTGTGAATGGCATCCACCTTGCAGAACAACTTGTGATTTTTTTTTTTCCCCTCTAAATGAGGGCGGTACATTAAGGGCTTCTGCTCTGGAGTACAGCACAAAGCTGATGAAATGCTATAGGACACATAATATAGAAGGGAAAGCCTTACTAGCAGGTCATAAGGAGAGGACTCTGCGTCCCAAACCTCCCCGGTCCTAGGGGGAAAGAGGAGTGACTTCTAGGTAAGGTAATTCAGCTGAGACTGGTCCACAAGGGAATTATGGTCATTTTTTCAGCAACCAAAATCAAGCTTTTACTCATCTAGTTTGTTTTGCTTGTTATGGGAATTTTAAGGTAACGGTCCCTACCAGTCTGCACCTGTATGGTGAGAGACCTGCGGACACACCAGTCGTCCTGTTAAGTAGAGCACTCCCTGCATCTAGCGAGATTAAAACATGTGCAAGGAAAGGACCTCTGGGCATTACAGCCTGTGCAAGAGAGCCTGCATGGCTCCAGGTGCTTAGCATCCTTACAGCTTGATTGAGATCCCTGAAAGCACAGACTGGATTTACACTTTTATTGTCCATGTTTTAACCACCTCCACATCTCAGGTGTACCAGCACAACAACTCAACGTGCAGTCCCTGGATCTGCATGAAAAGGTTAGGCTGCTGAGGATGGTGGTGGGAGAGGCTGAAACAAGTTGCAGTGGAGTTTTTTCCACCCTTGCTGCCCACAAAGCAGAACAAACACCAGTGCTCGCTAGATGTAGGTTTGGAAGACTTCAGCTTGGTTTGGGAGGCAGGACTGGACACATGCATGAAACCCTGTGCTAATACAAACCAAATTTGCAGCTGGCAATTGTGGGCTTACACATCCGAGTTTTCTCTGCTCTCCTGCCATGCCTTCCAGCCTTGGAAAAGTATTTGGGTTTTTGCTCATCATCTCAAAGTTCACTCCAGTTCCACACCTCGGTGCCGTCATCTCAAAGGACAGGGATGTTATTTCACAAATTTGTGCAAACCTGAACAGAGCTTACAGAGATAGTGAGGCAGGAACCTGCCCTTCTGCCCCCTCCCCTGCCTCTGCTGAGCTGGGCTGCCATGTCCTGGGCAGGCCGGGGACGATGCCCAGGGCTGTGGTCCCTGGGAGGCTCTGCTCGCAGGCATGGAGCTCCGCGGAGCTCTGCTGCCCTCCGGTGCCCGCCAGCCAGCCGCCACCAGCAGCGGGACCAGGAGCCCGGGGCCACAGCAGCTTTCATGGGGCATGGGCAAGGAAACCAGGGTGGGCTGGCTGTACCCAGGCAAGGTGTCAGTCCCCTTCGAGAAGGAGATGGGAGAAGAACTGACACCGGGGGAAGACTGATGCAAAGATGATAAAAATGTGTCGCTCTAACTTGTTTGATGAAAAAGTTTTAGTTTCGACTGATTTTTATTTTTTTACAAGCATTTCCTCTAAAGTTTGTCAATCTCAAAGAATAACAAGGAAAAATATTTCTCTTTGTTCTCATCTTTTATGACTGCTTTTTTTTTTTTTCTTTTTCCCATTTGAAAAGGCAGAAGAGATAAGATCTTTGGCTCCAGAAATGACTGGACTAACCTGGAAACCCCAGCCTTGTGTTTAGGATTGAGCTGAAGGAGATACATTCTCTCTTCCCTTGAGGAAATTCTAACACAACCTTTTTGGGTGCTCTGTCCTCTCCCTCACAAATGTAGCAGTAAGGAATGTGTCTGTATATAATGTATAGAGATATATATACACACACACGTGCAGTCTAAAATCTGTACTGACAAGAAGCAAGCCACTTCAGAAGGGTAATTTTTGTACATCACAAGATACATTACTGAATAAACCACACTTAAAATGTAAGAGCAATTTTCACAACAACACAAGCACTAGGAAAAAACAATGCTAAAAAGCAGCCTACTTCAGTGCTATGGATGTCTTTACAAAAGCTCTGTATCATTGGACTGCTTCACCTCTATGAAATGCACAAAATGAAGGTGTAATGATTAAACACAGACCGACCGGGTCTCCTGTTTCCAAGCTGAGCCAAGTCCTGCGAGGGGGAAAGGAAACGAATCTTCCAGGTTTCTGAGTGAATGCTCTCACGAGGATCTCCCAGGCTTTGGACTTGGCCAGGGCAGGTTCTCTTTCCCCCTCACAATCCAGAGCAGCTCAAGAAATCATATAATACATGCCATGCCTGCATCGGTGGCTGGGCAGCCGAGGGTTGCTGGCACACTGTACACCTTCTGGGTCCTTCTTATCTTCCCCCCCCCCACAACACTCTGGCATGCCTCTGCACTCTTGCAGATATTCTGGTCTCCAGACCCTTCTCGTGCCATTGGCACAGAGTACAGAAAAAGGGCTGTGGTCCAGAATTGGGGCTCTGAGGTTGAAAACAGGAGACAGGCACACAGTATGAACCCAGAGAAGAATGACTTTACAGTTGACACAACCTGAGAGACTGAAAGGCTTTTGTTTTCTTCCCCAGCGTGGAAAACAGATTTGCTGAAATGATGAGCAATACCTCATTACAAAGTAGGAAAAAGTAAAAGCGGAAGGTGGAACTAAGAGAAAAGAGAAGAGGCAGCATCCCCCTCCATGGGAGCTCATCACTGAGGTAGGCAACAGCAATGAATCATCACAGACCCTGTAATACCCCAGGCCACCTTTGGTGACATTTCTCTTACTTCTGTGCTGTCTTGTGCTGGAGTATAAACATCTGAACATGCACTAGCTGACCAGAGAATCTAAAGGAGATGGGTTCAAAACTCTTTGTTAGGACAGGTTTTTAAACAGCGAGCAACCACAGGCAGTCACCTCACAGACACTACTGTCAGCAGATGCCTACTAGAGATACAACAAGTACTCCTAACAAACAAATGCATACACACACAAATCAAACAACAGCAGTGGGACTACCGGACATACCCATCACATACCCACACCACCTCTTTCCTCATCAAAACCCAAATCTATTCCCCATTTAAACTAAAAGCCTCAAATTAATTTTCGAGAGGAGGAATCTTCCTTCTTCCACTATCCACTCAGGTTCCTTCTTCCCATACACTCTGTGATCCTTCCTGACTGCTTTTCATCCTTCACCTCTGGTATTTGCTTTCTCTTAGTTCACCCTTACTTCTTTTCTCCAGGTGTGGACTCACCCACTGGACTAACCCAGGGCTGAAGGAAGGTACTGAAGAAGAGGAAGAGGTTGCTCCAGAAGAGGAAATTCCTATTTTCTTGTGTCCTTGTGGAGTCACTAGGATCTCTTTGGGGATCTTAATTTTACCCCATTCTTTGGGATAAGTTAACATGTGAGGGAGTGACACCAGAAGGGAGAAATGGAAGTGTATTTTCTGTCCTTTCCCTTTGGTGGCTTAAGTTTCAGTTTTCATGCCCCAAAGCACAAGTTTTAACAATCTGGGATTGCACATAGCCTCATCTGGCCACCACCCTTGCTATCAGACAGCAAGAGATCAAGGA